AATGCAGTTATGTAGTTGTGTTCATCTTTGGTCAGTGATGAGGAAGTTGAGTTCATTATTCTAAATTTGTTCTAAGTTGCTTCAGCTATAGGTAACAAAGTGGGACCATCAGCACACGATGTGCTAACATATGTCAGACTATATGTAGATTGATCTATATGTACAGTTTAATTCTCCAACATTTTTCCTCTTCTCAGGGTCACTATTGACCCATCAAAACGGCAGACTTCGAACAAATCAGTGCCCGCAAATACTCCTCCACAAGGATCAAAGACTGTTAGTAAGTCTTCAGCCTCTAAATCTTTCCTCCTCTTGACATTTATTTCTGAAATTCTTTCCTTACTCTTTTTACGTTTAGAATTCTTCTTTTCTTCCAGATCTCAGATCCAAAGGACTTATCCACTGTCTATTAAAATAAATACAGTAATAAGTCAAAGATCAGTACCTTAGACACTGTAATTTATATGGAAATGGTTTGGATAGTACTAAGAAATTTATTCCTTAGAATATGGTAACAGTTAGACTTAATACATAATCATAGCATTTGCATTTGAAAGCCTTGGTTTGTTTTAAACAGTTGGCATTCTCCTTGGTTGACATATACCACTTTAGGATGAACTGAATGTTTCTCTGTTGAGAAGCCATGTAACTTTCAACATGCTGCTTGTTAGCACATTTTGAAGACCATTAGTCCTGAATGTAGATTAAAGGGAGATGCATGTGTTAGGCTAATTGTAAGTTCAGGGGAATTGAGTAATAATTTTTTAATGGTAGATAAGATATGGAAGAAGGCATTTGGTATGTTTGCCTTTATTGGTCAATGCATTGAGATCATGTTGCAGCTGTGCAGGACGTTGGTTAGGCCACCTTTGGCAAACTCTGTCCAGTTCTGGCCTCCCTACTATAGGAAGGATGTTGTGAAACTTGAAAGGATTTACAAGAAAAGATTTACAAGGATGTTGCCGGGGTTGGAGGGTTTGAGCTAAAAGGGAAGGCTGAATACGCTGGGGCTATTTCCCTGGGGCATCTGAGGCTTATAGAAGTTTATAAAATCATGAGAGGCATGGTAAGGTACATAGACTACGTCTTTTCCCCAAGGTGGGGCAGTCCAAAACTAGAGGGCATAGGTTTAAGGTGAGAGTGGAAAAATTTAAAAGGGACCCTTTTTCACCTGGAGGATGGTGCATGTATGGAATGAGCTGCCAGAGGAAGTGGTGGAAGCTAGTACAATCAGAACATTTAAAAGGCATCTGGACGGGTATGTGAATAGGAAGGTTTTAGAGGGATATGGGCCAAATGCTGGCAAATGGAACTAGATTTATTTAGGATATCTGATTGGCATGGACAAGTTAGACCAAAGGGTCTGTTTCCATGCTGTACATCTCTATGACTCTCTAATTATTAAAGAAATCTTTCTGAAAGCAATGAATTTTGTATGTTTATTTAAGGAGTCTGTACTTTTGGTTTCTTTAAAAAAGTGCAATTCTAACATGCACACAGTGGGAGGGAATCTGACCTTTATTATCTGTTTTGGAAGGAAAAATCAATGTTTTTCTTTTGTTACACTAAAACATATCAACTGCCTTGAAAATTGTCAGCACAGAATTAAGCAACAATTTTGCATGTAAAACAGTTAGCTGTGTGCATCTAGAAACTGTACAGGAACTTCAGCCTTTATGACTCATTTCAGTTTTGTTTTCTGTTATGATTCAGATTTCCTATTTTCCAGTTTTATATTGGTGACTACTCCGTTGTGTTTTTCAGTGACTTGCATACGTGAAATAATAAATGATTGTGAAGTACATAGAAATCTTATCATTGAATGAACTGTTTCAGATCAGCTGAATATATGGAATGTCCTGAAATTGTTAACAATATCTTTTTTTCTCAAATTAGTTTTGGCATTTAAATCTAATATTAAGCTACAGTGCAGATTTATTGAGGCTATAGGAATATCAGCAAACCAGGCATTTTTATCTATGAACCTGTGCATTGACTACAGTGTATCCTTTGTTAAAAATATTAACATGCATAGTTGAACTATTTGGGAAACCTAGTATTTAGTTTAACTTCCCTCAAAAGATCATTTGACAAATAGTATTCATTTAAGCCTGTTGAAAATGTATGTGAATGAACATAAAGCATTCAGGTTAAAAGTCAAATTACACTTCAGAAATTTCACACTATAATATTAATCCATATTGCTTTAAAATCAAATGATCCTTTTCTTCTTCCATCCCATATGTGGCAAAATAAAATTTGGATTACTGGGACTGCTTGTTAGGAAGTTCCATCTCAACCTCCATAGCAAAGTTTTGTTTGTTGCTTTACTGATAGAAATGGTGCTGATGATAGTACGAAGAGCAAGGTAATAGCTCATAATAATCTCATAATAGCTGGGGGAGTTCCTCATTTTTTTGTGTAAATTTGCTCACTGAATTTCAGTGGCAAAGGCTTTGAAATGTGTAATTTTATCTTACCTTGTTGATTTCACAGATAAAGTAAGCATTTTGTCATTTTTAAGAGGAATTTCAGTGCACACAGGAATCTAATTGGCCTAATCAATGATTTGATTGTATATTACTCTTGGGCCACTAGATGTCTGTATGTTTTTGTATTGATAGTGTATTATTTAATACTAATTAAATTTGAACTGGTTTTCCAAGAAGTGTACTGTTTACACTATGATCTTATTAAATTCTGAGGTGAGTGTAAATCAAAAAAAAAGTAACCAAGTGCACAATTAGATCAAGTTATTAAACTTCTAAAATTTGAGGGTTTTTTGTATTTGCCTTTGGCAGCTGGATCTATTTAATGTTAAGAATAATTGTGGTGTTAGATGTTGGAAACAGGGCTTTCATTTCAGTATTGTGTTGAATGGAGAGGATTTGGGATAATACATTGACGCACAGATTATGTAATTGAATCTGATGACTTTTTTAAATTAATTACCATGAAGATCAGGCAACAGGTTTACAGCAACTTTTTCATTGCTATGGCAAATCAAATTTTAAACATGTCAGTTGTAAATTAGCAAATGTAACAAATCTGCCATGATTGTCTAATTCCCAGCGTGTGTTGTTATGGTTTCCAGAAAGGATTATCTGAGTGGCATTGGGTGAATTATATTTCTTTCTTAATTCTTATGTTAAAACCACTGAAATCCAAATATCAAAGGTTTAATAGTTTGTTTTGGAACCAGCATGTTTTGATTCATTTTTATCCATGCTTATTTTTCAAGAGGAGACTTTGGAAATGAAGCACCATATGATTGGTGCATTACCTTGAAATCTATGGCTTTTTAGAGAAAATTAGTTCCTGAACGATCAGTGTTTTGCATGAGTTGTAATCTTTAATTAGAACTGCCAAATTGGTGTTGTGTCTTTGTCTTCTCTTAAATTCCTTTGCACTTTGCTGTTGCTTACCTTAAGTAAACTTCTCATCATTTTGTAGTTTTGAATTTTACAGATTATTTATTTGCAGTGATGTATGTATGATTGGAAGCTATATAACTGTATTTTACTTTTGATACACCAACTTCTAAATTATGCACTAAGCCAATGCAATGTTTCTGCTAGCCTAAGTTGACAAGAAATCTATTAAGATAAGTTACTTTTTCAACAGATGCAAGAAGTAAAATTCAGTCTTTGGCTAATCCGGAATTCTCGTGACCTCTTTGATGATCCACTTTCTTCCATTGTAAACGCCAAGTCATCTTGACCATATTCCCTGCCCAACATTGACTCTGAGCTTCCCAATGCCATAAACTCAAATCTCGAATCCACATCTTTGGTTTTGTGTACACAATGTTGCCTCTGGTCATCTCTATAACTTTTTTTTCTCACTCCAGCTGCAAAATTCATCATTTCGTGACCTAGAAACATGGCTGTTGTGTATCTCTCCCTCTCGCTCTCGCTCTCCCTCTCCCTCTCGCTCTCGCTCTCCCTTTCTCGCTCTCTCCCTCGCTTGCTCGCTGTCTGTCTCCCTCTCTCTCTCTCTCTCACACACACACACACACACGCACACGCACACATACACACACTCTTTCTGGAATTCCCTCCATTTCTGAACCTGTACTAAGACCACAGCCCTCCCAATTCGCACCTCTTCTGTTCAGCGCTCCTATTGCTCACTGACAAACTTGCTCGCCACCTCTCCTGCTCATTGCTTTCCTCCCTGATGTATGTAATTGCTCCTGTCACTGTCCCTATCTCGAGGCCTTATTCATAACACAGGTGCAGGAGAGGGAGGTAGTGAGTAGGAGAGACAAGGGATGCTGGCGGGGGTGCAGCAAACAAGAGCATCAGGAAGAAGGGAGAGATGACCAGCAGGATTTAGTTTCTATAGAAAGGATTAGCATGTTGTGTCTATATTTCTAAATTATTTTAAACATTATTTCATTTGTAATAATAGAAACTTACAAATATATATTCCTTCAACTTAAAAGCAATATGATATCTTAATGCTTTTTCTTCGACGGGAAAGATCTTGTAATACCTAAGTACAGCTTTTACATTGGTTCGAATGGGAAAATCTGATTTGCTTAATGTGTTTCATTTAACATTGCACTTGGCAGAAATGGAACAAGAACATTAGGCAAGGAATTACTGTCCAAATGTTTTGGGCCAACAATCCCGTCAATTTTGTGTTTACTTTATTCCATCTTCCCTGCAAAACACATACACGATCACTACTTCTTCAAATCACACCAATTAAGGTTTATAGAAAACAATTCAGGAGGTTTCTCTTCTTGTAAGTGGCTTCTGCTGCATTAAAGTATCATAAATAAATCACAAGATGACTACTTTTGCAAAAGGTTTCATGATAAAAGTGTGATTAGATAAAATATTCTGCCACTCATAAGAAAATGCATGTTTCTGTCTGCATCACATATGTGATTCTTTGGTTAGTCCTTATGTGTAACAGATTTGTGTGTGACACAAGCTTAAGAATTTTCTTCTTTCTTTAATTCCTTGTGCTTTCGGATTGCTTTCATTGAGGGTCCCAACTGAACCTGAGAGAAACGGGAGATTTGAGGGCTCAAGGTGAGAATGCTTGTATGTTTAGTAAGTTTATGTCAGTGGAACCAAATATTGCGCTACCAAAAATGTTTGTAGTCTAATTCCTGGAAAACACAATTTCAGCAGATGTTGATACTTCTTTTGATAAAGTTGAAATTTTGGTTGATATTTAACATGTGGCAATGTGCAGTGTTATAAGAATAACGACAGAGGTTTTCACATTGAATTACAGTTCTGCAAGTTGAAGAATAAAATCTCTTTGTAGCTTTTAAATATTTTGTCATTGTTAACCTAGGATAATTTACTTAATAAGTTTGAGTCCCTTTTAGCACTTAAGCCCAAGATTCGAATTCAGTTTAGATTGATTGGATGAAAGTCATCTTCCATCCATTTGCTATCAGGGTCCTATATCAAGTTAGCCAATTCCAGAAAAGAGAGGCTCACTGGGCCAATCTATTCAAAGAAAAATGGCAATGTTTCAATCATGCTGATGGGGATGAAGTTTTAAAAACTTGTACTTAAACTATGATAGGGTAGCAGAATTGTACAGCTAACCCATGCCATACTAGGCAATGTGTGATACCAACAATCTGTGTCCAAGAAAGTTTCCTAAATCAAATATGTAGAGGGCCCTACTCAGGCGGATGCAACACTGGACCTCCTCTTAGGAAACAAGATCGGGCAAGTGACTGAAGGTCAGCCGGAGAGCATTTTGGGTCTAGTGACCGTAACTCTCTTAGTTTTAACGTACTTAAAAGAAAAAGATGGGACAGGTCCACAGGTTAAAATGCTAAACTAAAGCAGGGCCATTAGGCAGGATCTAGCAGCGATTGATTGGGTGAGTTTGTTTAAAGGAAGAAGAACAACTGAAAAATGGGAGGCTTTTAAAAGTGTGATATCAAGAGTCCAGAGACTGTGTGTCCCTGTTAGGGTGAAGGGAAAAGCTGGCAGGTTTAGGGATCCCTGGCTGATGAGGGATATTGAGGTTCTGGTCAGGAAATAGAAGAAGGCATAAATTGGGTTTAAGCTATTGGGCTCAAGTCAATCCCTGGATGACTATAAAAAGTGTAGGAGCACAATTAAGAGGGAAATCAGAAGAGCAAAAAGAGGGTATGAGATATATCTAGCAGATAAGTTTAAAGAAAATCCCACGAGATTCTATAGCTATATTAAAAGTAAAAGGGTGTCCTGGGAGAGGGTAGGTCCCCTTAAAGATCAGCATGGCGGTCTATGTGTCATAGAAGTTGGGGGAGCTTTTTAATGAGTATTTCTACTCAGTGTTTACTGAGGAGAGAATCGTGGATGCAAAGGAAATAAGGGATGTTTTGAACCGCAAACATATTACCAGAGATGAGATGTTTGCAGCCTTACATTACATTAAGGTGAATAGATCCCCTGGGCCTGATCAAGTCCATCCTCGGATGTTCTGGGGTGCTAGGGAAGAAATTGCAGTGACCCTTGCAGACATTTTTGCTTCATCTTTAGCCAGTGGTGAAGTTCCGAAAGACTGGAGGGTGGCTGTTGTTCCATTGTTTAAGAAAGGTAGCAAAGACAAGCCAGGAAACCACAGGCCAGTCAGCCTGACATCAGTGGTGGGCAAGTTATTGGAGAGGATAACTGAGGGACAGGATCAACCAACATTTGGACAGTCAAGGTCTGATTAGGGATAGTCAGCATGGATTTGTGTGCGGGAGGTCATGTCTGACAAATCTTTTAGAGTTTTTCGAAGAGGTAACCAAGAGGATAGATGAGGGTAGGGCAGTGGATGTTGTCTATATGGACTTTAGTAAGACCTTTGTCAAGGTCCTGCACAACAGGCTAGTCATGAATGTTAGGTTGCATGGGATCCAGGGAGATCTGCTAATTGGATTTAAAATTGGTTTGATGGTAGGAAGTAGAGGGTGATGGTTGAAGGTTGTTTCTTGGACTGGAGACCTGTGACTAGTGGTGTGCCACAGGGGTCGGTGCTGGGACCTTTGTTATTTGTTATTTACATGAATGATCTGGATGTGAATGTACAAGGCATGATTAATAAGTTTGCCATTGATACAAAATTAGGAGGTATCATTGTAGTGAGGAAGATTATCAAAAATTACAGAGGGATCTTGATCAGTTGGGGGAGTAGGCTGAGGATCGGCAAATGCAATTCAATGCAGATAAGTGTGAGGTGTTGCACTTTGGAAAGCCAAACCAAGGTAGGACTTACACAGTAAATGTAAGGTCTTGAGGAGTTAACCCAGTGTGGAGCTGGAGAAACACAGCAGGCCAGGCAGCATCAGAGGAACAGGAAAGCTGAAGTTTCGAGTTGGGACCCTTCAGAAAATTTTTTGAAGAAGGATCCTGACCCGAAATATCAGCTTTCCTATTCCTCTGATGCTCCCTGGCCTGCTGTGTTCCTCCAGCTCCACACGGTGTTATCTCTGAATCCAGCACCTGCAGTTCTTACTATTCCTGAGGTCTTGAGGAATGTGGTGGATCAGAGGGAACTAGGAGTACAAGTACGTAGTTCACTGAAAGCAGCGTCACAGGTGGACAGGGTGGTGAAGAAGGCATTTAGCATGCTGGCCTTCATCTGTCGAGGCATTGAATATAGGAGTTGGGACGTATAAGTCGTTGGTAAGGCCGCAGTTGGAGTATTGTGTACAGTTATGGTCACCCTGTTATAGTCAAGACATGGTTAAATTGAAAAGTGTGCAAAGAAGCTTTATGAGGATGTTGCCAGGACTAGTAGGCCTGAATTACAGAGAGCGATTGGCCAGGATAGGACTTTATTCCTTGGATGTGTATAAAATCATGAGGGGCATAAATAGGATGAATGCATATGGTCTTTTTCCCAGGGATGGGAAATTAAAAACTAGAGGGCATAAGTTTAAGATGAGAGACCGGAGGGGAAACTTTATCTTGCGGAGAGTGGTGAGTGTATGGAATGGGCTACCAGAGAAAGTGGTTGAGGCAGGTACAATAGCACCATTTAAAAATATTTGGATAGGTACATTGATGGGAAGGGTTTAGAGGGATATGGACCAAATGCTGGCAGTTGGAACCAGCTGAGTGGTCACCATGGTCCGTATGGACCAGTTTGGGCCGAAGGGCCTGTTTCCATGCTGTATTACTCTGTGACTCTAATATAGGTTCCAAATATTGAAAGTCTTTCATTTTAAAATTCTTCATCCTGATGCTGATTATTTTACAGTGATCTTATGCATAAGCTCTTTTTAAATCAAGAAAGAACAAGCACTCCCACAATAAATATTGTAAAGTCCTTTTACACAAAGTGAATTAAATTTTCTGTGAAAAACAAGCATGAGATGAGATAACTGAATGATGGGTGCAGCCAACTCAACAATCACAAAGACCTAAATTAAATTTTTGAAAATACTCTTTTGGTAAGTGACATAGGATTTGCCTACTATGAACATCAAGCTATCTGTTCAAATATTACAGTAGGTCCTTCTGTCTAACAAATATGTGTGTTTAATTAAATAAGATCATACAATCCCTACAGCCCATTGAGTCCGCACTGATCCCCCTTCCGAGCATCCCACACAGACCCACCCCGCCAGCATATCCCGTAACCCCACATCTACCCATGGCTAATCCACCTAACCTACACATGCCTGAGTACTATGGGCAATTTCAGCAAGGCTAATCCACCTAACCTGCACATCTTTGGACTTTGGAATGAAATCGGAGCACCCGACGGAAATCCACACACACAAGGAGAGACCGTGCAAACTTCATACAGTCGCCTGAAGCTGGAATTGAACCTGGGTTCCTGGCATTGTGAGATGCAGTGCTAACCATTCAGCCACCATGTCACCCCTAAATAGTTCAGGAAGAAATTGGAGATTGATCATTAGCTGCTTCATAGTTTGACCTAAACACAGTCATATGTCCAGAATTTCATGCATACCCTAATTAGATTTCAGAAAAGAAGTAATACCTCCACTCCCCCACCGCACCCCCTGGCCCAATTAGTTGTAGACATGCTTGCTGTGGACTCAAAATACAGAACTGTGTTGCTCACTGCTGCTTGGGGACAGTTTGTGGTACTTGTTGTTTACCTTCCATGGGCTCAAACCTATGATTTTCAGTTGTCTGATCACAAACCAGCAATCCTTCTGGGGAGATAATGGGAAATTTGAAGTGAGGACTTGTCTGGCAATGGGAGACTGGAGCCAAGTTAATCCTGTCGACACATACCTAATACTCAATATCTGAGTCAGGCTGGCCAGGCCTTGCTCCATTGCAGTGTTAGCAGGTGACTAGCAAACCTAGATTTTCAACAGCATCTAGAACAGTGGATTTGCCATCTAGAGCACTTCAACTCAGTTCCATTTAATTCTACAAACTGAAACCCTGTGTAAGGCTTGAGTAAGCTAGACGAACAACAGGAAGCCACCTGTGCTCTGCAAGAAAGGTACACAATTTTAGCTTGTTAAATTTGGCACATAGAACATAGAACAGTACAGCACAGTACAGGCCCTTCAGCCCACGATGTTGTGCCAAACTTTTACCCTAATCCTAAGGTCTATCTAACCTCCACCCTTACCCTATTCTATCATCTATATGCCTACCTAATAAACGCTTAAATGCCCCTAATGAGGCCGACTCCACTACACTCTCCGGCAATGCATTCCACGCCCCTACCACTCTCTGAGTAAAGAACCTACCTCTGATGTTTCCCGATATCTACCTCCTTTCACTTTAAAACTATGTCCCCTCGTAAAAGCTACCTCCACCCTAGGAAAAAGTCTCTGGCTGTCTACTCTATCTATACCTCTGATCATTTTGTCCACCTCTATCAAGTTACCTCTCATCCTTCATCGTTCTAAAGAGAAAAGCCTTAGCTCTCTCAACCTTTCCTCGTAAGACCTTCCCTCCATTCCAGGCAACAGGCTGGTAAATCTCCTCTGTACCTTTTCTAACGCTTCCACATCTTTCCTGTAATGAGGTGACCAGAACTGGACACAATACTCCAGATGTGGCCGAACCAGGCTTTTGTATAGCTGGAGCATAACTTCACAGCTCTTGAACTCAATCCCTGTGTTAATGAAAGCTAACACACCATATGCCTTCTTAACAACTCTATCCACCCGGGTGGCAGCTCTCAGGGAACTGTGAACATGAACGCCAAGATCCCTCTGCTCCTCCACACTGCCAAGAATCTTTCCGTTAACCCTGTATTCTGCTTTCAAGTTTGTCCTTCCAAAATGAATCACCTCACACTTTTCAGGGTTAAACTCCATCTGCCACTTCTCAGCCCAGGTCTGCATTCTATCAATTTCCCTTTGTAACCTAGAACAGCACTGTCCACAACGTGACCCACCTTCGTATCATCAGCGAACTTGCTAATCCACCCTTCCACTCCTTCATCCAAATCATTTACAAAAATCACAAATAGAAGAGGACCCAGAACAGATCCTTGTGGTACACCACTCGTAACTGAGCACCATGTTGAATATTTTCCATCCACTACCACCCTTTGTCTTCGAAGGGTCAGCCAATTCTGAATCCAATCTGCCACATTTCCCCCTATCCCATGCCTCTTTACCTTCTGCATGAGCCTACCATGGGGAACCTTATCAAACGCCTTACTTAAATCCATGTATACCACATCCACTGCTCCACCTTCATCCACGTGTTTGGTCACCTCTTCAAAGAATTCAGTAAGGTTTGTGAGGCATGATCTATCCCTCACAAATCCATGCTGACTATCACGAATCAAACTGTGCCTTTCCAAGTGATCATAAATCCTGTCTGTCAGAGCCTTTCCAATAATTTGCCCACCATTGACGTAAGCCTAACTGGCCTGTAATTTCCGGGGTTATCCCTGTTCCCTTTTTTGAACAAGGGAATGACGTTTGCCTCTTACCAATCTCCCAGCACTATACATGTAGACAGTGAGGACGAAAAGATCATCGCCAAAGGCCTGTGATCTCGTCCCTCGCTTCCCATAGAATCCTTGGATAAATCCCATCAGGCCCGGGGGACTTATCTATCTTCAGCTTCCTCAGAATTCCTAGCACATCTTCTTTACTAACATCAACCTCCTCTAGCCCACCTGCCTGTTTCACAACGACCTCCTCTACAACTGGGACCCTCTCAGCTGTGAATACTGAAGAAAAGGATTCATTAAGGACCTCTCCTATCTCTTTAGGCTCTGTGCACAAATTCCCTTTACAATCCTTGATCGGCCCTACCCTTTCTCTGGTCATTCTCTTGTTCTGCACATACATGTAAAAAGCCTTGGAGTTTTCCTTGATCCTATCCGCCAAGGTTTTCTCATGCCCCCTTATAGCTCTCCTAAGCCCTTTCTTCAGCTCCTTTCTGGCTAACTTGTATCCCTCTAGAGCCTTTTCCATCCCTCTTTTCCTAACCTTACATAAGCCTCCTCCTTCCTCTTAACCAGTCGTTCGACCTCACTCGACCGTATCTTCTCTGCCTGCTAGGGACAAACATATCGAGCACATGCAGTATGCATTCCTTAAACAATCTCCACATTTCTGTGGTGCTCTTCCCTGACAGCATCTGTTCCCAATTTATGTTACCCAGTTCTTGCCTAACTGAATTGTAATTACCCTTGCCCCAGTTGTAAACTTTACCCTGCCGTATGTACCTATCCTTATCCATGACTATCGTGAAAGAAACAGAGTTACGATCGCTACCGCCAAAATGCTCTCCTACCAACAGGTCTAACATTTGGCCCAGTTCATTGCCAAGCACCAAATCCAAAATGGCCTCTCCTGGTGTTGGTCTATCTACATACTGTGTCAGGAATCCTTCCTGAACGCACTGGACAAAATCTGCTCCATCTAAACTATCACAACTAAAATGTTTCCAATCAATATTTGGAAAGTTGATGTCACCCATGACTACAACCCTGTGACTTCTGCACCTTTCCAGTATCTGCCTCCCAATCCGCTCCTCTACTTCTCTGCAACTATTAGGGGATCTGTGAAAAAACCCAAACAAAGTGACTGCTCCTTTCTTGTTCCTGACCTCAACACACTTGGCTATTATACCATTCTTATGCCATTCTCATTCTTATATCATTCTTATGATGTTTGGTAAGTAGGGGTGAATCCCTGTAATGAAAATTGACATCTCTGTGACTTTCTCAACAATTTGGTTTGGAGAAGTTATAAGGTCTTTATGGGTTTCTGTGCATATTAGATGGTTAGCTGATTAAAATATTTTGGAACTTAAATTGTCTTTTTTTTTAAAAAGACCCTTATTTTACTGCTATTTGAATCTTACTAATGTAACTTTCGCTACATCTAACTTGCTTGTTTTTGTTTGAATATGTTTTACCTGTGGCTCTAAACACAGTTCCAACTTATGGGCACAGTAGATTAATCAACTGAGCAACAGATTAACATCATTTTTTGCTTTTAAAATGTTCATATAAAAGGACTAAAATGTTAATTGTTTGAAAAGATTTGTTGTTGGCAGTTAGATATTACAGGTCAATTGATGCAGAGTTGCATTCCATTTATTTTTATACAAAATCCAAGACTTTACATTAAAATTTATATTCAACGTTGGTGATGTACTGCATAAGTAAAATCAAGATGGGCATCTGCAAATTGAAGTGTGCAGTTTGTTGCACTTTGCTACGCTGCAATCCTGCAGAGACAACTCCATGTCTGAGTGTTTCTACTGAATTCATTTCTTCATGTTTTAATGTTAGGATATGCAAACAACATTCACTTTTCCCGGAAAATCATGCCATGCTAAGTTTGATAAAATTCCCATGTTTGCAGCAATTCATCTTGTTTTTAAAATAGCGTTGCAGCGTACTGGAGTTTAACATTCCAGTGCAGAACACAAGCAGTGTGAGACGACTCCTGAGTTAGGCTCGTGCCATTTAGCTTTTGCACGCTCAGGTCACTTACTCCAGGATATATCACTACTTTGATATTATTACTTATCTAAAATCATTTTGCAGTAAAAATGCAATAACCCAAAGGTAACACTGTAAATTATGCTAAGTTAATAACACATAATTCAAATTTTATTTCCATGTTAAAATAAAGTTTATGCTCATTTTAAGAGATTGCAAGCTTATTGGCAGGTTGCATATATTTATAAACTAGAGGATAAAAATAGAAGCAGCACTGTGTGGTTCCATATTCTAATACTTGGCTGCTCAATTTTTTTGTTTTCTGCAGTCGCAATGTATCTGGGGATCAAAAAGACGAAATCAAAGAAGCAAAGCCCCGTTCACTCCGGTTTACCTGGAGTATGAAAACGACCAGCTCCATGGATCCTAATGACATGATGAGGGAGATCCGAAAGGTTCTTGATGCAAACAATTGTGATTACGAACAACGTGAGCGTTTCTTGCTCTTCTGTGTCCATGGCGATGGTCATGCAGAAAACCTTGTACAATGGGAGATGGAGGTCTGCAAACTGCCAAGACTTTCACTTAATGGAGTTCGTTTTAAGCGAATATCAGGAACATCCATAGCTTTTAAAAATATCGCTTCCAAAATTGCCAATGAATTAAGGCTGTAAAATACGGCTAAGCTATAGTTTCAGGCGACTTTTTTTTCTGAACACTGGTGGAAATTTATTGAAGAAAATGTATAGGATAATGCTTACGCAATAACTACTGCAATTTCAGATCATGGTATTGTAAAACAGTGGAAATTCACAAGCTGCTGAGGGAATGGGGAAGTTGATTGAAGAATAGATTTTCTTTTTATAAAAGTGCACTACAGCAGTCAGTATCCTAATAACTGAACAGCTTGCCCCTTCATCTCAGTTACTTCACGGTTGTAATTGGCTTAGAGTCAGTTGCTTGTAAAACAAACTGAAAATGAATCATCCTGTGTAAGTATGATCCCTGTATGTACAAAAAAAAAATCTGTTCCAAAAAATCCTCCTCTTTAAAATGCTGTTGGATGAGAGACATGGGCTGCACCTGTGTTTTCAAACCTGTATATCTTCCACTGTTAGTACTGATTCAGGTGCTTGGCTTTTCAAAGACAATGAATTGTAAGAAACAAATAAACTCATTTTCCATCAGTTGTGTTTAATGGCCTTCAGACAATGGAGGTGTGTACCTATGAGCTAGTTGTTTCTGTAAAATATATTATAAAGCAAGAAATTCTGCTAATGGAAGAACCTTTCAGCTGTATTTAGGCCTGTGATGATATAAATTACCTGTGTCAAGCCAGGGGTGCTGTGATTTGGAAATGATTTAAGTACTGTAGATCACAGATGCTAAACCACACTTAGGATCTCTCTATTGTAGAAAATACCACCATCTAAGACTGTTCCTTAATCAATTAGGACATAAAATTATATGTTTATTGTTTTGGATTCTTTACAGTAAAGCTTAGATTGGAAACAGTTTCGTTCGATCGTACTTTATTTAGCTGTAATTATTGTTAATAAGAATACAGTCTGTCCTCCACACATACTAGCTAAGTAAAATTGTCTTGAGTCTGTAATTTAACAATTGGCACTCTGGGACAATATTCATTTAAGTATGCAGTTTTTGTTTTTTTTTTCCAAACTATCAGCACTGTCCTTTGGAATGTAAATAATGTAACTTAGGTTGTGGACAGCATCATACTGTTATACAGTTTTTGTTTTTTCATTTTTTTAATGTTCTGTAATGAGCCAGGAGTTACAAATCAATGTAAGTTGTCAACATTTCAGGTTCACAACTCTTCATTAAAGGAAAAGAAACTAAAATGTATTTCTGCAATGTCACATATCAATTTACTCACTGAAATATATCACGTAAGTATGCACAGACATATATATATATATAATGTCTATCAGCCTATTAGCTATAAATACTTCATTCCTTATATTTTTCCATTTCACACAGATGTTTCCATGCAAGTATTTTGCTGTTTAGCCCACTAGCAGCTAAGAATAGTAGTACACGTGGATTGACATAAATCGAAACTAGTGAAATGGAAGCTCAAACCTTTTTGCTAGGTTTTTTCATTCATTTTGGAAAACTTTGTCATTCAAGCACCTCAAAATGAGTTCTTCTCGACATATAATGTATTAAAGCACTGTACTTTTACAAATATTATTGTAGTCGAGTCACCTGACGTTCTTTAATTCTAAAACTATTGCTCAGTCTTCAGCTCAGTTCTGAGAGTGGCTTATTTATTGTGGAGTTTTTCTCTGGAATTATGCAATTTTTAATATCTTTATTTTCTCAAAGCTGAAAACTGTTACAGTTAGGGGCCATTAGTCCTTCAGTTCTGTGATTATTTGGAACAATACATCTGTCCTTTACATTTGCATTGTGGTGTTAGAGTAGCTGAAACACAATCCTCCCGAATGCATAAATTTCCTTACTTATCAAGGATCACATCCATATCTCCCATACCATCCTGCAGGAAATTACCTTTACACCTGCAACCAGTATAGATTGTTATCTGGAAAGTTTAAAAAAGAAACAGTTGAAGTATGGACAATTGGTACAAACCAAAGATGGTTTACAGCAAGAAAATCCTTGCCAGCTAAAGAATGTTGTTTGAAGCATTTCTAGGGACCAATTTGAATTTTATCAATGTATTTTTAGAGGCAGTCTCCTCATGAAGCTAAGTGATAGCAGCCACCAAGATTGTAAAGTGACATAGAGAACACTAGAGTGTAATTCATAACCAGAATGAGCTGTTAATATAGTTGGAACTCCTTAGAGCAATAGTCTTCCAAGAACCAAACACTTCCACTGAAGAAGGTCATCAAATGCTGGTGGATATGCATTGTAAATATCATGCTGCAGAGTATAGTTTCCTTTGCAGACCAAAGTGGAACAAAAAAACTTTATGAAACCAAAACAGATCTCCAGCATAAATAAAACCATGTACTCACCTCCTTCATCTTGGTATTGAATGGTCCTAGTGGCTTGCAAGAAAATTTAACCTTTATTTAGCTTTGGAAATCTAAACTATTCACAAAGAGACTGGAATCATAAGAAAAACCGAAACAGCTAAGGATGCTGTGAATCAGAAACAAAAACTGGAAGTTTTGGAAAAGTTCAGTAAGTGTGGCAGCAGCTGTAGAGAGAAGTCAGTGTTAATGTTTTTGGAGAACAGTTCTGAGGAAGGGTCACTCGATCTGAAACATTAACTCTGATTTCTCTCTACAGATGCTGCCACACCTACTGAGCTTTTCCAACAATTTCTGTTTTTGAAATCAAAAGAAGTTGGACCTGGATTTCATTTTATTGAAAACCTGGTGGAGTACTATAATTTTCTAATCTAATTGCTATGGAATATGTTGTTTGAGATTGGTAGGGAGTAGGGACTCCACATTGCATTTCTCCCCCAGATTGTTTCTGATTGAGTAGTATGGCATCATATGTGTGTTTCCAGCTTTCCACCCATTACATACTTCTGAGTAGGCAGAACTCCTCCAAAAATGTGAACTCTGCCCAAATTATGAACAAATTTCTTCATACTAATGGAGTTATTTTCAAAGTAGACACTTCCTGCCTCAGTATTTTAAAAATCCTTAAAGTAGTGACATTTGACTGTCATTTGTACCAAGAAGACAAATTTTTTATCTTGTTTTTCTTCTTTCCCTGCACATTATTTTTGACTCTAGATAACTATAGCTGATAAATATGATGGCTTTAGAGTTATTGGCTTTCAGATTCTTTCACAACTATGGAGCCATCCTAAACAGTACTGAAAAGGGTAAATCTTCCCCTACCTTGTTATCCATTGGTTGTTTATCTATTGAAAGTGATAGATTAACAAAATAGGTATTAGCTAACTTGGTGGAACCTCCGGATTGGTGGTCAAATCTGGCTCCGTCTATGGCTTTAAAATCTCAAGAATCAGCATTGTTATGGCACAGAAAGAGGCCATTCAGCCCATCGCACCCACACCACCTGTTCAAACTAGTATCATTCCCTAGGATACTTCTATTGCTTTCTCCCCTTGCACATTCTTTCTAACCAAATATCATCTAATGCCCTCTTGAATGCCGCAATTGAATCTGCCTCCACCACAATTCCAAATAGTGCATTCCATACCCTAACTAATTACTGTGTGAAAAGGTCTTTTTTCTCATGTCACCCTTGCTTCTTTTGCACGTTGCTTTGCATCAATGCCCTCTTTCTTGTTTCTTTTATGAGCGGGAAGTTTTCTCCTATTTATACTTTCCGGCCAGCTCACGATTTTGTAAACCCCAATCAGAGCTCTTTTCAACCTTCATCTTTCCAAGGGGACCAGTCCCAATTTCTTCAATTTTTCCTCAACTGAAATGTCTCATTCCTGTCACCATTCTGTTCTTCGCTTATGCTCTCTCTCTAGTGCATTCACATCTGTTTAAAATGTTGCACCCATGTGCTTTAATAATAATCATGGCATTTCATTCTGTCGTTCCCTTAAGTAAATCAAATTTATCCTCTGAAATATTTCAGGCGCAGACGCTTTCCCAAAAAGTAGTCTGTTTGAAGCAATAGCAACCAAAATACATCATAAATGTAGTTAGAAAGATTGATTGCTCGTCCAAAAACCAGTTAGTGTCTAATTTTGTGAATATTATCACCTTTGCCAATTTAGCTAGGCTACTATCAATTGAAGAGATTGGATGGATTTTTCATTGTACTACTTAGTTGAGTTAAACCGTTGCAGTCCATGTGGTGTAGGTAGACTCGGGATGAACTGGGAAATCCATTCCCTACTGAAGACTAGGCTTGCAGCATTCAAGTTGAATGACCTTGACCTATACATAAAATCCAGATATGACCTTCGCAATGCCATCAGAGATGCCAAGAGGCCCAAACCAACCATATGGACACCCGTCACCTGGGGCAAAGCCTAAAGAACGTAATGGGATACAAAATGAAGAAGAGCAAGATAGCGGACATCCCTCCCTGATGCGCTCAATGTTTTCTGTGCTCAGTTTGAGCAGAATGCCAGCAGCGCAGTGTCACCTGCCCTGACCGCCCTGGACACACCTGTTTCTTCCATTAATGCTGCAGATGTCAGATCGGTCTTCCTGGGAGTCAACCCAAGGAAAGCAACAGGCCCAGACGAAGTCCCCAGCTGCGCACTTAGATTCTGTGCGGACCAACTAGTGGAGGTATTCACTGACATCTTTAGCCTCTCCCTCCTACAAGCTGAAGGCCCCATTTGCTTCAAGAAGATCACCTTCATCCCACTACCTAAGAAAGCACATGTAACGTGCCTTTATGACCACTGTCCAGTGGCTGTGACCTCCACAGTCATGAAGTGTTTCCAGAGGCTGGTCATGGCCCACGTCAACTCTAGACTCCCAGCCCAGCTCGATCCCCTACAATTTGCCTACCAACATAACAGGTCCACATTTCCCAAGCCCTGCAGTCATCCCTGGAACATCTGGACAACAAGCACACCAATGTCAGACTCCTGTTCAATGACTACAGCTCCGCCTTCAGCACCATTATTCCCTCCAGACTGATCTCAAAACTCCCGAGACCTTGCTGTCACCTCCATCCTCTGCAACTGGATCCTCAGCTTCCTGACCCATAGACTGCAATCAGTGAAGATAGACAACTGCACCTCCTGTACGAGAACACTCAACTCTGGAGCCCCTCAAGAATGCGTCCTCAGCCCCCTACTGTACTCGTTGTACACCCACAACTGTGTAGCCAAATTCCAAACAAGCACCATCTACAAGTTTGCTGATGACAGCGTTGAGATAGGATAGATATCAAACAACAATGAGTCAGAGTACAGAAAAGAGATAAAGGCTTGGTGACATGGTGCAATGATAACAACCTCTCTCTCAATGTTGGCAAAACAAAAGAACTGATCATTGATTTCAGAAAGAAAGGAGGAAAACATACCCCCATCTACATCAACGGAGCAGAGGTTGGGAGAGTCAGGTTCCTAGGAGTGATGATAACTGGCAACCTGTCCTGGACTTCCCACGTAGATGCAATGGTCAAGAAGGTACAACAATGCCTCCTCTTCCTCAGGCAGCTCAGGGAATTTGGCATGTCCATAACGACACTCACCAACTTCTACAGATGCACCATAAAAAGCAAACTATCCAGGTGCATAACGGCCTGGTACAGCAACTGCTCAGCCCAGGACCATAATAAACTGCAGAAGGTTGTGCGCACAACCCAGACCATCACGGAAGCCAACCTCCCATCCATGGACTCCATTTGCACCTCCTGTTGCCACACAAAGGCTACCAACATCATCAAAGACCCCTCCCACCCGGTAATGCTCTCCTACACCCTCTTCCATCAGGCCAAAGATACAGAGGCTTGAACACACGCACCAATATGTTCAAGAACAGCTTCTGTGCTGCTGTTATTAGACCGATGAATGGACTCTCTAACTTCAAATAATGTTGATCTTGTTAATGTTGGTCTTGCTTTGCGCACATCCTGTGCGGTGTAACCTGTACGCCTCATTCTGTCCAAGTTTTCTTCACCCTATGATCTGTATGTCTTTGCTTACTATGGTCAGCCTGTACTGTTCGTAGCCAAAGCTTTTCACTATACTTAGATACACATGACAATAAATCAAATCGTCATCATCAGTGCTGTTAGGGAGAGAATTTCAGGGTTTTAACCCAATGACAGGGAAGGAACAACAATATATTTCCAAGTCAGGATGGTGAGTGGTTTGCAGGAGAACTTTCAAGTGGTATTGTTGTTCCCACCACATCTTAAAACATTTCAAAATGGTAGTTAGTTCACTTTTACTAATTTCAATGAGCTT